TATAAATATATGTACATATATCTATTTCCCCATCATTATATATAAATATATTTACATATGTACATGCCTGTATTTTGACTTTCATAAAATGCCCTTTGTCTCCTAGCTCTTTCCTCTCTTTCCTTTTTCTTTCCTCTTGTCCCACTATCATGTTCAGCCTTCATTTGAGTTTCAGTAATTCCTCTCAGTTACATTACCCTTGATTATGCTCTAGCAAGCCTCCTACACCCTGCTCGCCATTGATTTTAGATCACTTGTTGTTCCCTTGACCCTGGGTTTGTTAACATCCACTTCCTATCCCCTGCGTCCCCTTCCCGTTTGTTCATCCTGCCTATCTTATCTAGATAGACAGGCAGAGATAATAATATGCACAGAAAGACAGAGCAAAGTAACAACACAAAAACAAAACAACAACACAAAAAAAGACAAAAAAGAACCATTTAAAAAATTAACTTTAGCAAAAAAATTATTTTTGTGTGATATTAATTATATTGTTAGATAATTTCTGAATTCTTTGGGTCACCTTTCTTTTGCATTGACACATTCATTAGTTTTAAACATATCAATTAGTATTTAGTTGATCCCTGAAGTCTTGTTCTTTGCTAATGCCCTCAGTGCAGCTGGGACATTTTCCTTCAATGTAACGGATCTTGGTCATGTGTTCCCTCTTAAGATGGTTGGGTATTGACCAATTCTTTTCGGCACTGGGAGTCTGTATATTCCTTTTATCCTCTTTTCATGTTTTCTATGTTGTTTAATATTTCGCCCACAGAATCTTTCAATATTGTAACTGGTGGACTGCACATTTTCTTTAGTTCTATTGAAGAAAGTTTACTTTGTCTTCTGAAGTCAGCCTATGAAATATTCGCATCTTTTTCATGCTATCAAAGCACATGGATGTTACTACTCAGCCTTCAAGAGCAAGTTTCAGAGTCTCTTCAGACATCCATTTCGTGTTTATTTTTTCCTGTACTTTTAATGACTATTTGCTATACTTCATGAATAATGTCCAAGATATCATCTCACAATTCACCTGGCCCTCAGTTATTAGTGTTCAAATACATTCTTGAGATGGTCTCTCAATTCAGGTGGGATGTATTCAAAGTCATATTTTGGCTCTTGTAGACTTATTTTCCTTTTCTTCAGCTTCACCTTGAACTTTCATATGAGCCACTGCTGTTCTGTTGAAGCCACCAGCTGATTCATGAGAGAAGGAGAAGTGGTCTCAGGAACCCATCGGGGCAGTTCTACACTGTCCCACGGGTCACTTACTGAGACAGGGCCTGCTCATTGGCAGTGGTTTGGTTCAAAGTACTTAGCTTTTTATGGTAATGGAAACCACTGACACATACCTGCTAAATATACGACAACTAAATTGCGAAAGAGAAGATGTTAGTTCAAAATTATACTAACCAACAGTCTCTGGTCTGAGAGATGCAATAGAAACCTCTGCTCCAATCAGTCCAAAAAGAAGGGGTTGAAAGATGTCCCAGGCAACTGCAATTATTTTTCCAACCTCTGCCTGAAACAAAAACAGATAATAAACACATATGTGCACACACATACATGATTTATAGTATATGAAGTTAAAAGTAACAACGTTTTACTAATTTGAGATTTGAATCTATTTGACCTAAGGTAAGCTTTGTTTTTATTTTTGTGTTATCTCTAAAATTGAAGTTAGCTACAATAGAGCCAAAAAAATTTTCCTGGGACACAGTTTAAATATTATATGAGGTACACAGTTTAAATATTATATGAGGTGCTTTTGCAAACTAAGGATTGTTTTGCAAATGGACACTAATTATAGAAATTCTTACAACGTCATCCCAGGAAGACTACTTTGGAGTATAATATCAGATAACTTACCATGTAAATCTGAAAAACGATCAAACTGGCCACGCGTTTTTATTTTATTCAATTTTTATTTTGTACTAAGCCTCTGAATTAGGACAAGTAGGAGCCCAACTATTGTGCTGAAATCAATCACATAATGAAGCCGGAAGTGCCCATGTTTGGGGGTCCAAAAGCGGGTTCTAGTTGTAGGTCATCTCTAACAGAATCAGAGAGCCCCCCACGTGCATGTCTTCACTCTGGGGTCACGTTCTACACCCACTGTGTCCTAAGACAGCTCCTCCACTACCGAACAGCTCTATCTGCTTGGAAGCAATTACCTATAGTGAAGCATGAGATCTCGCTGCAGAAAAATCACAGAACCATCAATTCCACCTGACCGTCCATCAGTGTGTAAGTGCAGTTATCAAGTTTATGCTAAGACTTCTGTTTCTTTGACTGAACTTTAGAAATTTTTATTACTTTGAATTTACTACAAAACCAAAAGATTCACTGCCGTAGAGTTGATGCCGACTCCGTAGTGGTCATTTAGGACAGGGCAGGACTGCCCCTGTCTGTTTACGAGACTGTACCTCTTTATGGGAGTAGAAAGCCAAATGTAGAAATCCCTGTCTTTCTCCCGAGGAGTAGCTGGTGGTTTAGAGTCAATGACCTTGCAATTAGCAGCCTGATGCTTACCCCACTGCACTGCCAAGGGTCCTTAAATTTATAGGATAGAAAAATGTTAGCATCTAGAATTTCATCTTGTCAGTGTATGTAATTACTGATATCTCTATCTAGCTAAATCAATAGGTAAAACATTCATTAAATCAAGTATAAAAGGGTGACCAGTGGGAAATCCCTCATTGTTTCCCTAGATATCCAGATTCTCCACGCCCCTCCCCCCACACATACATACACACCAATAGACTGCACTGGTTATTAGAAGGTATTATGTAATTAAAAACAACTATAAAGCATAAAATATATCTGCATACTCACGTATCTACAAAAATGGTAGCATACTCTGTACAACATTCTCTGAGTCAATTTTTTAATTACCGTATATACTCAAGTATAAGCCAACCCAAATATCAGCTGAGGCACCTAATTTTACCACAAAAACTGCATTAAAAATGTGCTGAAAAACTCAGCTTATACACGAATATATATGGTATGTAGGCAATTCTTCCCTCTAATTAAAAGGGTTCCTCATTCATTTTTACAGCTCCGTTGTATTCCCATTAGAGATTCAGTTTGGATTATTAGAAGAGTGGGCACATTATGTGAGAAAATGCAGTCTATCAGGCTTGAGTAGTCAGCAGATTTGGGTTAAATTTCTAATTGTTTTATTTTGCTTACATTCTTTACTGAGGAATGCTTACATAATCTTTACTGAAGGAAATACCTCTCAGTTTGATATGCATCCTCTCCCACAAGTTTACATGTGTTTACACACATATGTACATATAATACTAAGTAGATCTCAGAGTTTAACATCTAACTTAGCGATCTTATATAATCATTGTCATTGGTTGCTGCATACCCATGATAAACTTATGTATAAGGGGGCTTCAGAAAGTTTGTGGAAAAATTGCTCTTATTTCCATCTTCCCATGAAGTTTTTGAAGCCCCTTCTATAACAGAGCTGAATAATATTGCACCCCATCATTTCTTTATTGACCATCTTTTAGATGGCTTTCAAGTTTATTGCCCTTTTCAAAAAATATGTGAAATAATTTATCTCCAAAAATTCTAAAAAATAAATTCCATGTATAGCATCCCTGACCAAAACCCACTGCCAGGGAGTTCGTGCATTCCACCTCCTAGCCACCACACAGCACAGAGCTGAAGCACTGCTTAGGCGTCCAGGACTATCTCTGTAGGGAAGCCGATGGGCATATCTTTCTCCATAGAGGAGCTTCAAGGGCGGATCTTTGGGTTAGCAGCAAATCACTTTAACCACTGTGCCCTCAGGGCTCCTTACATGTAAACTTGCTCCATCTAGTTGGTTCCAACTCATGTTGACCCTATGGGACTACCAAGCCTCATCTTTCTCCTGCAGAGAAGCTACTGGACTGCAACTAGCAGTCCAGCACGTTACCCACTGGGCCACCAGGGCTCTTCTACCTATACCAGTACTGTGCTGATGAACATATACTTTCCTACTCAGAAACAGAACAAATTGTTAATTTGCTATTTTTAAAGTATTGAAAACGGGCTACCCTTAAGAAGAAGTTAAGGGATAGTTTTTGAAATGGTGATGTCAGACAAACTTCCATCAGACAAAGGGTCACCATGCAAATGCAGTACCTTCACCTTGATCAGTGAGGACTGTAACCTTTGCCTGGTGTCAAAGAAGTAGGCAAGGGTGCTTCCAAGAGCAGAGTGTCTTAGCCCAGGTTGGAGGGAAGACAGAGAGCACCAGTTGCAGCAGCAAGGAGGCAGCACTGCACTCTGTCTTCAGCTGAGATTAGATAGAGGGAGATTGATAAGGAGATGTGTGAACCGATCCAGAACCGAATGCAGACCACAAATATCGTGAATCTATGTAAAACCATGTAAAATCAAATATTTTGATAACAACAAATGTCACGAGAGTTAAGAGATGGGTACCCAATTTATGCTGGAACATTTGTTGACCATTTCCTTTGCCTTTACTAGATGTTTCTCAGTAGAATTTCTTTATATAGGTACCATTTTAAGAAAGAGAGAGAGAGAGAGAGAGATATTATATGTAGTCAAGCCTCCTAGCCAAGCAGGAAGTGTTGGTGTTCACAGTGCCTACAGTAGGGTACAAAAGGGACTCTCCACTGTCTTTTGAAGCCTACTCCACCTAAATCAATTTTCCTGTGACCTCAATATCCTGTAAGCACAATGGTTCAGAAGGCCCCTACCATTCCCTCCCTCCAAAATGAAAGGATGCAACATTACACGGGCTGTAGTTTTACAACCATATCTTGTCTAGCGAATTAGGAGACCCCGTGCTGTGGTGGCTTATGAATTGGGCTGCTGACTGCAAGGTCAGCAGTTCGGAACCACCAGCCATTCTTAGGTAGAACGATGAGGCTTTCTACTCTTGTAGAAATTTAGTTTCAGAAACCCACAGGGACAATTTTACTTGGTCCTATAGGGTTGTTACAAATTGAAATTGACTGGATGGCAGTGAGTTTGGTTTCGAGCTTTGGTTTTTGTATAGGGACATATTTCTACCTGAAAGTTAATTACCCATAAGGATATTCTGTGTTCCTTGAATCCCTGCAGAGATAAATTTAATTGAATGTGATTTTACACCTGATCTCAAGATTCATGACCTTCACGTATGCTTCCACAGACATTATGTTATGTTTCATTATTTTGAGCAGTTGTCTTCAAGTTTGTAAGATTATTTCAAAGTCATATTAAACCAAAGCAATACAAAAACTAGCCCATTGTCATCAAGTTCATTCTGTTTAACAGTGATCCTATCTTAGAGAGTATAGTGCTCCTTAGGATTTCTGAGAATAATTCTTTATGGGAGTAGACAGCCTTATCTTTCTCTCTTTAAGTAGATAGTATGTTTGAACCGAATTTGTGGTTAGCACCCCAATGCTGAACCCATTACACCACCAAGACTCTTTAAAATCATATTATCTTCATTTAATTTAGGTCACTAACATCTATTGTCTATATCTCTTCATTAAGCAGAAAACATATAATCCTGTCAAGGTCAGGTCTATAAAAACATATCTGGAAATTCAACAAGTGACAACCAGCTAAATAAAAGAGAGATAAAGAAATTTGAGAATCTTTAAGATTTAAAAAAGTCAATAAGGAAACCCTAAATAACTCTTAAAAATGGGCAGAGGTGTTTGAACACACTGGCCATAAACTATGAAAATATGATTAACTTTATTCATAAGGACATGTAAAGCAGATCAATAATAAGACATGTTTGTTCACCTATAAAGTTAACAAAAGAATTGAAGATTGGAAGAAGCACTCCAGCCTGTTTGCTCAGGAGGTGCCGAAGGGATCAGTTATCAGGCATCAAAGAACAAAAAATCACGTCATGTGCTCACCTCTGTGATATGATCCCTGAAGACAAAGCAGGTGCATAAGCAAATGTGGTGAAGAAAGCTGATGGTGCCAGACTATCAAAAGATATAGTGTTTGGGTCTTAAAGGATTGAAGGTAAACAAGTGGCCATCTAGCTCAGAAGCAACAAAGCCCACATGGAAGAAGCACATCAGCCTGTGTGATCACGAGGTGTCAAAGGGATCCGGTATCAGGCATCATCAGAACAAAAATTATATCATTGTGAATTAAGGAAGTGCGGGATGGAGACTCAAAGCCCATCTGTAGGCAACTGTACATCCCCTTATGGAAAGGTTGCGGGGAGGAGATGAGCCAGTCAAGGTGCAGTGTAGCAATGATGAAACGTACAATTTTCCTCTAGTTCCTAAATGCTGCCTCCTCCCCCACTATCATGATCCCAAGTCTACCTACAAATCTGGCTAGACCAGAAGATGCACACTGGTACAGATAAGAACTGTAAACTCAGGGAATCCAGGGCGGATAATCCCTTCAGGACCAGTGGTGTGAGTGGTGATACCGGGAGGGTGGAGGGAGGGTGGGGTGGAAAGGGGGAACCGATTACAAGGATCTACATCTAACCTCCTCCCTGAGAGATGGACAACAGAAAAGTGGTGAAGGGAGACGCTGGACAGTGCAAGATATGACAAAATAATAATTTATAAATTATCAAGGGTTCATGAGGGAGGGAATAAAATGAGGAGCTGATGCCAGGGGCTTAAGTGGAGAGCAAATGTTTTGACAATGATGAGGGCAATGAATGCACAAATGTGCTTTATACAATTGATGTATGTATGGATTGTGATAAGAGTTGTATGAGCCCCTAATAAAATGATTAAAATAATTGAAGATCGAAAGTTCTACCCTGCCCCACAGAGTTGCTGGGAGTCGCCATCAATTTGATGGCAGTAAGCTTTGCCACAGCAGGTAAGCAATTGGTTGCCAGCCAAAAGATCTGTGGTTAGAACCCACTGGCCCATCTGCAGAAAAATGTGGTCGTCTGCTTAGGTAAAGCCTTGGAAACACTTTGGGGCAGTTCGACTCTGCCCTGCGGGGACGCTTGCATCTCCGTGGACCCGATGGCAGTGGGGCTGGTTGGCTTTCATTTTCCAGAAGCCAGCCAGGCCTTTCTTCTGTGGAGCTGCTGTAAGGGCTCAAAACACCAAGTTTTTGGTTAGCAGCCTAGTGCTGTCAGGGCCCCTCTACCTATAGGGTAGTTGCACTCTGTCCTCTTGACCCAGACTTCTTACACTGTGAGTCACCACTCCACATGGAGTCATGTAATTGAATCTGGGGCATGGGAAACAATCGGCAACAGTCAAAAGTTCTGAACATGCAAGGACCAAAAATTAATTCGAAATCAAACATGTAATGAATCCGAGTGCTTCTGGCAGTGCTTGCCGTGTTGCAGATTTCTCAGGCAAAAAGGCCTCATGAGCAAAAAAAGTTTAGGAAGCCCATTGACTAGCCTCTGAATTAGAATCACCTCTACTACCATCAATGCCAACACAGCTATCAAATGCAATATTTTGCAGTCATGAGAAAAAAAACAAAGAAGGCATCAGGAAATTATAAATAATAAGTATATATATTATATATTTGTCAATATGGAGTATATTACAAATATTAAGTAAAGGCATCAAATTATGAACTGCTTTTTAAGGGGAAAGGGTATTGCTGTGCATGTGTGTACAATTACAGTCTCAGAAACTGACAGATCTACCCTGTCCCTCTAGGGTTGCTATGCGGCAGTACGGGCTCAATGGCAGAGAGTTCTGAGTACATTGTTTATGTATATGACCACATAAATGGATTTTATGATGAAAAATGTTATTTGATGTTTAAAAAAAAAGCATCTGGAAAGAAAATAGAATAATCTGATCAGAAAGTAGTTGTGAAGAGAACGCAGCTGAAACTCACCTTTTTGCTTTTCCATCCGATGCCTGCTAGGAAGGCCATGACTAAAGTGCACAGTCCTCCTGATCCAGGGAACCCGAAATAGACGCTGCTGAACACAGCCAGCACGGAGAGCCCCCAAACCAGGACTGCTCGCTGCCACGCCAGAGAGCCCTTTAGGAGGAACAAAGTGAAGTCGCAAAGTCATTTTAAACGACAGATTGTTAATGATTTGTTATTCTATAATATGAATTTATAACCCATTAACCCTTTGCCATCAAGTCAGTTCCAACTCACAGAGACCCTACAGGACAGAGTAGAACTGCTCCGATGGTTCCTAAGGCTTCCTGGGGACAAAACAGCCTCATCTTTCTGCCCCAGAGCAGCCGGTGATTTTGAAATACGGAGCTCTCAGTTAGGACCCTCCACACAAGCCACTGCCCTGAAGGGCTCTGACGAGAATGCCCGCATCTGCTGGCACATATGCCTGACTTAACATTTGCTTTCCTTTCTTTAGCAAAGGCCAACTGACAGCATACACACAGAGAGGCTTCTTTCTGGGGCACCCATTTTCTTTCTTGCATTGCTATGGTGCTTTGAATAGGTTTCAGCACAGCTTCCAGATTAAGATGCATTAGGAAGAAAGACCTGGCGGTCTGCTTCCAAAGGTGAGTCAGTGAAAAGCTGGGCAGGGTGTTGTTCTGCTGGGCGTACAGTAGCCATGAGCCGGGGACAGATTTATATCAGGCAAAACAATAACAACAACGACTATCATTTTTCCCAGGATTGAATGGAGTTGTAGAAAAAGCACAATGGTTTTGGATGCAGACAGGCCTAGGTTAAAATTTTAGCTTTTTTAGTGTGCAGGATGTGTATATAATGGCTGCATTACTTAAACTTTCCAAGTTCTGTTTCCTCATTCATGAAACGGATATATTTATATCAGTGAGGTTTTATGAATATCTCTATTATCTGCAGGTTTTTGGTTTGCTCTTTAATTTGTTGGTCCTTTGACTTTCCTTCTCAATCTTTGACTAGCGAGAACTTTTAGGAGGCCATAAATTGAAAGTAGGTTTTAACAAAGTATGTCAGCATATAGTTCTCTTTCTTTATTTTCCTCTGTTCAGCATTTTGAACACCTTGATCTCTGTAGAATATAGGGTTGTTTTGTTTTTTAAGTACTTGATTTGGAGGCATGCAAACCCTGGAGTCAGATAACCTGAGTTCAACCCTCGCTGTACTTTGTTGTAGCCACGTGATTTTATTCACATCACTTCTCTCAATTTCCTCATTAGTAAAGCCAATAGCAACCTTCCCGTCAGTTCTAATATGGGCTACAGTAGGTTAACACTGCCCAAATAACTTTTAGAAATGATACAACTATTCTATAAATATACTGTCCAACATAGTACCACTAGCCACTGTGACAATTTATTTGAACATGCAGCCCAAGAACATATCTTTCTTTAAAAAAAATATATTGGGAAAAGTTCTACAAACATTTTTATTCAAAGTACCATGGAGTGCCCAGAGAACAAATAATTCTGTCTTGGAAGAGACACATTCATTCCAGAATGCTCCTTAGAAGCAAGGGTGGTGAGACTTTGTCTCACATACTTGGAACACGTCGTCAAGAGAGACCAGTCCCTGCAAAAGGACATCATGTTTGTAGGTGGAGGGACAGGAAGAGAGGAGATGAGTGGACCCACTGGCTGCCACAATGGGCTCCCGCAGGGCCCAGCACAGTCATGAGGCTGGTGAAGGACCGCGCAGTGATCTGTGCTGTTGTGCACGGAGTTTCTTTAAGCTGGGACCCAGGCAGCGGCACCACACAGCTACATATACACTTAGCGTTAGTTAGTCGGGTGGCTGTGAACTGAAATCCACTTGATGGCAGTGCATTTGGTTTGGTTTGGATCAGAAAATATTCACCAGAATCAACATAGTTTAGTTTCATTAATGTTGAACAATTAGCTTTTAGAATAGAATGCTTTCTTTGTTTTTAGCAAGAAAAGTGTTAATGATAGATCAATGGGCAAATCTTGAACAATTAGTTAAATTGTGTGATAATTTGTATTATTGAAGAGACTTCTTAGAACTTAAGAGGAACTGAATTTTTAATTTTATTCATTTAAATCATTTCAGGTGGCTAATGACTAGAAGGTTGGACAGTGTAGCATTTGGTGATGACTTTAAAGTACTTACCTCAATATTTTATACACAACAGTCAAAAGTAAGCTACTTGAAAAAATAAAAATGTTACAGAGCTCTGTTCTCTTTATTTAGCTATATAACTGGAATAATCATTATGTAATGAACATAATCACACAGGTTTCTTTTATTCATTCATAGCACCTCCTGCAGACAATTTTGGATTTCCTTGGAGAAAATTTTTAAGTCACAAAATTTTTTAAGTCATCATGCATTCTGAAATATTTAATTTTCTTAATTAAGATTCAACTTACACTTTCAATGAACTTCATTCAGAATGCATTGAAATCTGAAAATAAAGCCAATTCTTATAGAAAGAAAAAATTCTTTATTTTTATATATCCCAAGAGAATTAGGAGGATAAAAGGAAGCAAAACATTTGTGCCTCTCTCAGAAATCATTGTGTGCAGTGAAGAATTTTGATCTTGGCAAGCCATGCCAAATTACATTGCCAAGAACTATTACAGCCTATCTACTTGATCGTGTTAAAAGCTAAGGTATTTTGATACTAATGAAAGGGACCCCCCCCACCCTCCCCAAATAAGAAACATTACTTAATCTCATTTAGTTGAGTACAATAAAAACAAACAAAAACTGTGTCTACCCTTAGGAGCAAGGATGTCAAGACTCTGACTCTGGACTTTGGACATGCTATCAGAGGGATTAGGTAGTCCCCGGAAAAGGACTTCATGCTTGCGAAAGGGGAGGGGCAACAAGTCAAAGGAAGGCCCTTGACTAGCTGGATTGACACAGTGGCTGAGATGATGGATGGGTTTAAGCTTCAGAACAACCGTGAGGAGGGTGCCGGTCCAGACAACAGTTTCACGCAGCTGTATATGAGGTCCCTATGAGTCGGAAGAGGCTCAATGGTACCTAACAACAATAGCCTACCTACACACACATAAATGATGATATGTCACCAAATATAGGCGAGAGAACAAAGTTTTTGGACAGCCTTCGATATTTTATACATTTAATTTTCTTCATGAATCTCATGATAGCGTGGATAGAGCAATGAGCAGCTCTAAACTAGGGGTGGGGGGAGAGCTGTTTGCCAAATCGCCTCTTTCATATTTGGCTGTGATGGAAGTGTTCCAGAGTTTTCTTACTGCTGTTTTGGAATGTGAATTTCTCACAGATTGTTTCTCTCACCTGGTCACTGCTTGGGAAGTACTGAACAAAAAACCCCAGAAGAGAGCCAGCTGCCACACCAGTGACCATCTCCAGAACTCCTCGGAGGACATTGAAGATGGTGGAGCCTGGAGAACGCACAAGAGGAAAACCGTCAGACAGAATTCGTTACTGTTAAACATACAAACTGTACTTCTACAATCCTCTTAACAAAACATCTAGTTACATATCAAAAAGTTTACACTCTTAAGTATAGGTGACTTAAGATATTTTTAAAATATTTCATCCTTGCTTGTGTTTTTATCCTTCAAGAAAGGTATGCACATAATTGGAGACAAAGGTGAAACAGGCTAAGATACAATTGTGCAGGTTTTTTTAATGCTTACTTCTATAAATGTTTAATTAAGGGACCTACGAAAATGTGAAATACAAAATTCATAATTCCATGCTGAATGAGTTAGATACATCTACTTCAACTTTCAAATGATCATTTAGGAATCTGATTTTGAGCAATACATGTACATTGATTTTAGTATCTGATATATGTAAAATGCAGCAACCTAAATTTAGGAAATAAAAATCAAAAACCTTTTTTAACTGTTACGAGTACAGGGGACTTATTCTTTGTGAAACAAAACTCTAAAAGTAAGTCTCAAAACAGATTAGTTATGACATTGCCCTTGAGAGGGTTTTCTTGATTCATTTCTTTGAAATAGAAAGGCAAGTTTGTTGTTGTTACATGCTATCTAGTTGACTCTGACTCGTGGCTCTCCCAAGTATAACAAGGCCCTGCACCACCATCGCCATTGATGCTTTGTTTGAGACCATTGCTAGAGCCACTGCATGGCGTCCTTCTCCAGGGACGGGGCGTTCCTTGTCACATGGCACCACGCCTCGCCATCCTTGTTTCTAAGAAGCCTTCTGGCTGTACATGGGAACTTCAGAAAGTTTGTGGAAATTTGGAACTAGAAGACAGTGACCATTCCCCAAGAACTTTTTGAAGCCTCCTCATGCTTCTTCCAAGACAGATTTGATTCTAGGGAGAACTTGGAAATTCCCCCATTGTATACAGGGTTTAGGAGATCCGAATTAAAAAACCCTTTTAGAACACTGTACAAAAAATTACATTAAAAACAATCAACTCATACATCCCTCTGCAAACACTGGTCATGGAAAAAGGTACTCAGTAACTAGTTATTGTGGCTTTTGTTAGTATAACAATCGTCCTATCTGTTTACGATTTTAAAATGGCCTGGTAGGAGTTTTATTTAGCTAGGATAGTCTCTGCTAGTTAAGGGTATAACAGTCAAAAAGCATTTTGTTATTAGAACGACTCCTAAGCTACTAATAAATGTAGTAAACATTTACTATAAATCTTCAGAAAATAGCTAATTATTTTCAGTCCCTGGTATATTAAAGTTTAAAATATTTTTTCAAAAGCTGTTTGGTCCTCTCCCTGGAAATTCCAGTTCAGTAAGTTTGAGAGGGCCTTGGATCCGTACTTTAATAATGCACCCCGGCTGTAGTGATCTACAAGATTGATGGACCACATGGGAGGGCGTGGTCCTCCAAGCTATCAAATTTCTTTTCCCACCTCCATCCTCATCCCGCCACAACTCTAAATTATAAAGAACCCAACCCTGACCCTCACCACTCCCCTCCTTGTCAGCTCCCACCCCACCATTCAGTAAGTACCCGTGCTGTAAAGCAAAAATTTTAAAACCCCACTACACTTGCTTCCATTCCAAAAGTTTCTCATTGAATTGGTCTAAGGAAGTTCCTGGTTGGTGAAAATGGCTAACAGGCTTGACTGATAACAAAATAATTGGAGTTTCAGGTACATCCAAGAGGTGCTTCCAAAGTAAAG